ACCCCCCCCCCCCCCCCCCCCCCCCCCCCGGCTTTGTGTTATTACAAATTATAAAACAATTTTTTCCTGCCGTCCCGCATTCTTCTGCCTCCTGCAAGAATTTTAATGTATTTATTTTTGCTATCAGGGGAAAGTGCTGTGTTCCTCGGCCACCCCCAGGCAGCCCCGGCCCCGCTTGACCACTGATGGAAATTAATGACGGAGGATGCAGGGGGAGAGCAGACACCCCTGCACCCCTGCAGCAGAGAGCTGGGGGGACCGGTACCCCCCTAGCCAGCCATGTTTTCCCAGTGGCAAGGATCTGCGGAGGACAGAGAACTCAGCTGTGGTAGGGGTGAGGGGACAGAGGGGCTGGTGTCCAGGAGAAGCTGTTGGTTGTGGGCTGGGGAGGGCACAGTTATTGGGTGGTTGGGCAGGGCTAAGAGGTGCTTTGAGGTCTGGCTTTGAGGGCGCTGTGTTGGAGAATTGTCCCCATATAGCAGCATGATTTTGAAGTCCTCTTGAGGGAGAGGAGACCTCCCCAGGACTCCAGCCCTCTCTGCCTCTTGTGACAGCATCCCCAGTGATCCCTAGCCTGCTTGTGAGACAAAGCATCCCCTGAGTGGCCCATCCTGCACCCCCTCACTGAACTCCCTCTGCCTCTAGGCTGGTGCCCTGATACTGTGCTGAGCTCTGCCTCTCACTCCCAACCCTACAGCCCCAAGGGCATGGATGGGGTTGCCCTGCTGCAACAGCCCTCCTACCCCACAGCCACTGAGGCTGGGGGGGGGATCTGGCTGCTAGGAGGGAGCGGACAGGGGAGGAAGTAATGGGCCTTTCCCGCTGTGGGGAAAGCGTGGCGATTTCCAACCCAAACACCCCGGCGCTCAGCGGCCGCATACTTTCCCAGCGTCCCTCCCCTCCTTTATTCCTGAGGACATTGGCAATCAAACCCACGTTGGCCTCATCTCCTGCTCCTGCAGTGAGGTCATCGAGCTGTGTTTGTGACATCCCGGCATTTCCATGGCAGCGCGCTGTGATGTCATAAGCCCAGGTTGCGACCTCACGGCAGGAGGAGAATGATCTTATTAAAACAACATGGTCCCCATCCATGGCTGCTCACAGCCGGGGGATTCCAGCGCAGGGCAGCAGCCAGCAGCCAGCCCTGTGGCAGCCAGGGGGATGATGGGGATGGTGCCTTCTCTGGGGTTATGTCACCAGTGGGAGATGGTGATGACACAGGGCATGATCCAGTGCTCAAAGTGGAAGGTGGCCCCTAGGGCTGAGCTCCCAGCTGATGCAAACACACAAGCCACATGGTGCTGAAGTGACAGTGAATTTGGGGACAGCCATGCTACTCCTCAGGGTCCCCCAGGCCTGGCCACAATGCTGCCCACCTCTGGGACTGAGCGTCTGGGGCCTTATCGGGGTGCAGAGCCCTTTCATGTTAGGCTGGCGGGCAGCAAGCGGAGCTGATGAGGACCTGTCCCCAGATCAGAGCTGCCCGGTGCTGACAGCGACTGTGGGGCCCATTCTTAAATTAGACAAGTCCCCCTCCCCCTGGCCAGCACTCCTGGCCCTGGCCCATGGCTGGACATAGCCTGGGACATCACGGCCCACAGTACTTTGTGTGGCCAGCATGGCCCACACACATGTGCACACACCTGTCAGCACACAGCCTACTCTCAGGCAGAACTGGTCATCCCTTGGGCACTGACAGGCAGGAGATGAACAGATGGATGGATGGATGGAGGGGTGAATGGGAGGATGGGTAGACAGATGGGTGGGTGGCTCTCTGGATGGACAGGTCGGTGTGGGGCTGGGTGGGAAGAGTAATGTGTGTATTTGTCGATGGATGGATGGATGGATGGATGGATGGATGGATGGATGGATGGATGGATGGATGGATGGATGAGTGTACAGACAGCTCAGTAGATGGATAGAGAGATGGCTGTGAGAAAGCTATTTGCAAGTGTGGATGGACGGATGGACGGACAGATGGACAGGTGGATGGATGGATGGATGGATGGATGGATGGATGGATGGATGGATGGACAGGAGAAAGGATGGCCCTAGCAGCACTGTTTAATGAGCCTGTGTAGCTCTGGACGTTGTTGCTCTTTCCAAACCACCTAAGTTTCACGCAGCATCAGTTCTGGGAGAGAAGGGAACATCCACGTCCCAAGGGGAGAAAATTTGCCTCTCTCTCTGCACAACAGTTTGAGGGCCCGACCTTGTGCAGCTGCAGCACCCTCACTGCTAGCACAGAATCCACTCTCCACTGACCAAAGGGGAAACTGAGTCCAAGGAGACCGACTTACAGAGCAACAAAACTGAAACCACCCCTTTTCAGGGAGGCATGGCTCTGTGGCCAGTCCCCCTCATTCCAGCTCCCCACACGTCCATCTGTCCATCCATGGGAAGGACACGCATATCTGGGCTGCGAGCGATGCCGCTGTCCTTGGGCCCCCGCGGGCTGTAAACATGATGTCATGTGGCAGCATACACAGCCCGCTCTGTGCACGGGTCCCCGAATGGGCTTCACAAAGTTCTGCGTGGGAGGCATCCACCATGGCCCACAGCCAAGGGAACTGGAGTCAGGAGATAAAATCAGGTTTGCTTTAGGCTGGAGCAAACAGCCTTTTGCAGGAGGAGTAAGGGACAGGGAGAGCAGATGGAAAGAGGAGACACCTCCCCATCTTGGAGAATTTGGCAGGGAGCAGAGGTGATGTGGGAAACTCCAGGAAAACCCGGCACTGGTCTTGCTGGTCTCAGGTCACCTCCCTTTGCCCCTACTTGACTTAGAATAACTCCATAGGCACTTGAAGTCACTAATCAGCCAGGACCACTTGAGAGCAGCCTGGGGCTGCCTCCGTCTCCTGTGATAACAGCATGCCAGCCCCGGGTTCTCTCTGGCATCCCACTCTCACGTCCTCGGGGAAAGGTCCTGGCCCACCAGGGTCCTATGGGGCACAAAGCAGGGGGAGCCTGGATCAGAGCCTTCTGCCAGGTGCTAAGCCCTCCATGGTGGGGGACACATCACATCATGCTGGTTGATTTTCCTCTTGTTTCAAAAGCTTTGTGCTGTCCCCAAGCCCCTGTCCAGGTCTGAGAGGTCAGACAGAGGGAAATGAGGGGAAGGGGACCTTTGGGAGGGGGCCAAGAGGGTCCCACTTGAACTCTCTGTGTAGGAGAAGAGCAGCTGTTTCCAAATCTGAGATCTGTCCACATCCCTCTTGATCTCCCCATGTCCCCCTTTGCAGCCCCACTGGCCCCAGCGTGGCTGGTGACTCAGGCAGTGACAGTGTGGTGACACATGGTTGACATAACAGGCCATCTCTAGTTCAGTGCTTTGGGCTGTTTACAGTCCTCAGGACCCAGGATCAACCTTCTCACAGCCTGGGCTTTCCTGGGGATGAGTCAAGGGATGCCCTCCCTTGGGACACCCCACTTCCTCCCCCCATCTGTGGGAGAGCAAATCGGGCTCAGTGGGTGCAGCTCTGGGAAAGATTTCCAGCTCCTGGGTGACACTGTACAAGTCACATGAAGAAGCTGTCTCTCCCTCTGAGGAGGACCAGCAGCCAGGACCCTCCATAAGCAGTGTGTGGTGGATGGTTGAGGGACAGAGAGGCAGGGGCTCCCACAGTGTCCGTGTCTGCACCCACAGGTCCCACCAGTGAGATGAGCTCGGACGTGACAGCGGGTCAGTGGGATGAGTAGAGTCACAGCATCCCTGGGGCAAAGTGACACACAGGATGTGACCTGCCACCCCCAGCTCCCCATCCCCGTGGCTAAAGACAGCATTTGCTCTCCCGCCTCTGCTGCGCTTGTCACCAAGCTGGGCTGGCCCGGCACTGGGGGCTCCCCTCCCGGGAGCTGGCGTTGTCCCCGGCTCCACGCGGCATCTTCCGGCCGTAGATGTGTCATGGCCCAGCCTGCTCCCTTCGGAAGTCCCCGCCGGGCGATTCTGAAAGGGGCTGATTCGCCCGACCCTCCCGGCCCCCTCCAGCACGGCCTCCCCCACAACCCCGGCAGTAGCCCCGGCAGAGCCCCCGGCCGGTCCCCGCCGCCGCTCCCGCCGTCCGAGGACGGGGAGCACAGCCTAGCGGCAGGAGCGGGAAGCAGCCGGGATAACGGGACCCCTCAGCGTCCCGGGGCACTGGGGACCGGCCTGGGGAGTCGCTGCGGTGGTACAACCTGCCTTTCCACAAGGCCGAGTGCGAGATCCTGAACACGGGTCGGGGCTACCCCAGTTTTGTCTGAGGGATGGACGGACTGACGGCCGGGATGGATGGGTGGAGAGCTCCTTCACTGTGGAGGAGTGACGGGCACTGGTGGATTAAAAATAGTATATGAGCCAACAATGTGCACTTGCAGCCCAAAAAGCAGATCACGTCTGAGACTGGAAAATAAGAAGCATGTCCAGCAGGGCAGGGAAAGTGGTTGCTCCTGCTCCACTCCACACTTGTGAGAACCCACCTGGAGTAGAGCACCTCTGGGGTCCTCAGTGCAAGAGAGGTATGAACCTGTTGGAAAAAGGCTCAGACGAACCAGACAAGGCTACAAAATGATCACGGGGCTGGAGCACCTCTCCTGTGAAGACAGGCTGAGAGATTTTTGTTGTTCAGCCTGGAGAAAGCTCAGGAACATCTTATTGCAACTTTTCAATATATGAACTGGTTTATAAGAAAGATGGAGCGAGACCTTTAGTAGGAACTGTAGTTTTCACTCTTTTTGCGAGAGGCAATTGTTTTAAACTGGAAAAGGTTGCAAGGTTCCATTTCCCCGCAAGGGGAAGCACAGTTACAGCAGGCTGGGAGAGGCCAAGGCATCCTCTGCCGGGGAGAGTGAGAGCTACAGGGTCTCAATTTCCCAGGCTGGGAAGCTCGCAGAAGTCCTCGGGCCGGGGCTCTCCTGCTGCCCCGGCTCTGAACCCGGCAGGGGCAAGGCAAGCGGCAGAGCTGCTGTGAGCAGCCATGAGATGGCAGCAGGCGCTCGTTCTTGGCTATCCCAGCCTGGGGTGCATCAGGGATGTCTACAGGCACGGGGATGCCCGCGTCCTGCACCCCAGTCCCTGACCCACTGGCAGGGAGCACAGAAAGCATCACCCTGGAGCCCAGTTCGGGACACTCCCGGTCCCCCGGTGAGACAGGACCGAGGGCAAGAACAGCCACTCACGGGGCTCTCAGACACCTGTACAGCCTCAGACAACCTCCCTGTCCAGGACCTTGTACCCGATGCCCGATAAGAGCAGTTAATGATCAGCACTGGTGTCCCAGAGACATGGTGCCCGACACCCCTGGAGTGACACCTGGACAAAGTACTGCCCTGCCCTACTGTCCCAGGCTGGTCAGAGCCTACATGTCCTGCATGCACAGCCCCAGACACCCCAGCAAGGCCCTGCACATGGGCTGGACATCTTGGCCTGCACCAGCTTTAGGCAGGAGCTGGCACCATTCTCTCCTTGGCATGAAAACATACCACACCTTCCTCCAGTTTGCTGCCAGCAGCCACAGTGGGCTTACCAAGGCCTCCCCATCTGTGGTCTTGGCCAGCAGTGCCTGGAGGAAGTGTTGAGAGAGGGCCTGGGACAGTTTGGACCCAGCTCCCCAAGGCACCATCCTGCACTGCTGGGGGACAAGGCAGACACAGGGGGGTGACAGGCAGGGGACAGAAGCAGGGCAGGATGGCTGAGTCCAGGAGACCTGAAGAGCAGGCTCGGTGGTGAACATGGAGCTGACACAAGGTGTGCAGGGTCTGGGATGTGGTACCCAGTGTCAGAGTGCAATGCCAGTGCTGGCACATGTGCCCTGGCTGGTGCTGTGCCCAGTCCTCGTGCCCGTGCCTGGCATGCGGTGTCTAGCACCCGCTGCTTATGTGCAATACCCAGGATGCAGCACCTGGTGCCGCAGGCTCCATTGTGCCAGGGTGCTGCACCTGCCATGCCGTGCCAGTGCTGGCTGCCAGCTGCCTTGTGCATTGTTCCATCATGCACAACGCACGGCACCCAGCACCCGGTACGTGCCAATTCCATCACACCCGGTGCCCGGTCTGCGATGCTGCAGAGTAGTTGCCAACGTCCAGCTCTTGGTGTAGGGCTCATGGTACCCAGTGTGCCGTGCCGACTACATAGCACACTGCAGCCGGTCTCCACGGCCCGGTAGAAGGTGTGCCGCAGCCGGCACAAGGCGCACGGTATGGACTGCCCGGTGCCCGCCGAGCGGCAGCCGGTACCCCGCATCCAGAGCGCAGCAGCCGGGGCCGGTACCCGTTGCGCAACGCACCGGCTGCGCGATTCCCTATTGCCGGTGCGCGATGCTCAGTCCCCGGTGCGCGGTGCCCGGTGCCGGTGCCCGGTTGCCGCCCCCGCGCCGCCCCCCGCACCGCCCCCGGTGCCGCCCCCCACCACCCTCGGTGCCTCCCCGCCCCGCCCCGTCCCGTGCGCTGCCGACGGAGCATGGCGGGCCCGAGCGGCGGGGGCCCGCGGGCGGCGCTGGCGCCGCCCCCT